AGTACAACTCACTGCAAACGACACAGCCAGAACTCCACTCCCTGACAGCTAAACTACAGCAGTGAGTTTTGTTCCAGGTGCAATGAGATAGTCAAGGCCATCATCCTGCCATCCTGTGTGATCAGAACCAGTGGCACTTAAAACATCAGACACTGACTCTTTGGAAACAATACTACTTCACTAGGATTATCAAGATCTTTAAACAGTCACACATTTCATTGTCAAAACACAAACCAATTGTCATTTAGTTGATTTGGATTCATAAAGATACTGTAGTAAATTTTTTAATCACTTTTTTATGTCATCATTGGACCAACCAGAAAAATCTCAACTGTTAGAAAGCTGAACAGCTCATCTGCATTTTTATATGAACCCTCAAATTCAATCCATGACAGAGATATTGTCCATTGTTCCCTGGTCAGTGCCAGCACCACTTGATTCATTTCGGGGGGAAATGTCTTCACCTGAGTAATTATAATTTGGCTGTCACTCCTACTTTCAAGTAAAAAAAGAAGTGCTCAGCCTGAGACTAAAAATGATACAATCACAAATTAGAATATTATCATAGTGTATTTATTTACACAGCATATGTATGTTGACTTTCAAATTCACTCCACAGGACACTGAAGAATATGTCCTTGTGGGTCAAAATTTAATATAATTAATCAGAGAGTAAGGCCAGGCTGCTCCTTGGAGGCAAGGATTCTGAGGCTTTGTCTGACATACTTTGGGCATGTTGCAAGGAGGGACGGGTCCTTGGAGAGGGACATCATGCTTGGGAGGGTGGAGGGACAGCGCAGGAGGGCAAGACCCTCGGTGAGGTGGATTGATTCAGTGACTGACACAATGGGGTAGGTGTGTCAGAAACAATAAGGTTGACATGGACTGGAGCAGGGTTTAGGGCTGTTGTACACGGGGTCGCTATGAGTCACGGGTGACTTGACAGCACAGAACAACAACAAATCATGTTCATTTCCTCCTCAAGACAATTATGAGTAAAAGGCTTTGATTTCATCATTGTGATGGCTTGTTTCACTGCGAGAGTTCACGGCCATGAAGGACATACTGCACAGTGCTCGGACAGGAGCCATTCTGCCAGGCCTACATGCTTGTTCACTTATTTTTACCATCAGTACAAATGCTAGTACAATGAACAGAGGTGGGGGCTGGGGGAACCCCCTCTTACTTAAATAACAACTGTCCAATCTTGTGACACCGCAGTCTATTTCTGGAATCCAAACACTCAGGAGCTTGAACCTGAATTGCATGTACAACAATAAGTATGTGCCCACCCAGTCCACAAATTCCCATCTCTTTTCTTTTGCCTAATAAATCTAAAGTGGGTTTTATTAGTTTAGGGAGCTTTGTCCACTGAGTTTTCGTAAATTGGAAAGCATCTACATCTTCATGGACATTTACTCATTCCTGAATACTACTCTTTTGAAGCAGAGGCGGTCCAGAGCTTATTGGAGATTCGTACTATTTAAATTGTGTTTCAGTTGTAAACGGTGAGGGATAACCCACAATGGCAACATTCCCTTAGATATCCACTAATAAGTTGTGAACAACTTGTTTATTAGGACATTATTCTTTCTTAAATTTGCTAAGGTTGTAAATCTCAGCCATAAGTAATTATTCAGGGAATGGAGCTAATAACCTTTGGGTGTTTATAAGAATATATATTCTACATTATAAATCCTTCCCTCTATAATTAGGCCAATTACAGAGCCACCAGACTCGTTGACATTCAAATTGGATACCTGCCTTAGTGCTTTAGAGCGCTGAAATAAATGGGTAATATTCAGTTGTTCTGAAAACATGGCATTAATATTTTATAACAACTGTTGTCTGAGGACATTACAGCATGAAAATGCATAAGTAACAGAGACAACCAGAATAAAAACGTGTGCTCTGGAATAATAGAAAATTCCAAATCCTTCACCACTGATGAACTAACTGAGAAAAGACAGAAAATAAATGTATCTGCCTGAGAACAGTCAGGAATCTGAATGAGGAATCCCAAGGGCATCTCTGCTGCTACTGAAGGTGATTAACTCCTTCTTAGAGACCTCACCAAGAGTCTTGCTGTTCACATGGCATCACTCATTCAAACCAGAAGCTTCCACTAAGGATGCAGGGGGACTTCGGCCTATGACCAGATCTCAGCGAGCAGGCAGGTCAGTGATGAACTACGATATACTGATTAAAACAACCACCACCAAAACCTTTCCAATGAGTCACAATGATGCTTCACAGCGTTTCCAATGTCTGACTTCTCAGAAGTAAACATCTCAGCCGTTCTTCGCAGGTGCTCATAGATGCTAGTAGCCAAGGGTATTTTAACCATTTCCATCATCCATGAAATTCCATCTTTCACTTAAAGTGACATTTTTTTTGTCTTAATTGACAGTTAAATATCTGGAGAAAAGTCTGGAATTCCTTAAGAAGTAGAAATACTGAAGCAGAGGCTTGGTCATCTGGCAAAGAGTGTTGAAAAGGGATTCTTACCTTGAAACGAGCTGTAAGTTTAGGGCTTCCCAATGCCCAGACTACAGGATTGGTATAGCACATAACGTAAGGTGACCCTCCAGAAACTAGTATTTTGAAAAATATCTTTAACAATCAGAGAATTATTCCCTTTTATTCCATTTCGCTAAGTACTTCACAAAGAAAATTTGGTAATTCTATAATATGTTTAGGATATATCTAGGTATATATCCCAAATAAATAAAAGCCACAACATAGACAAATATATACATAAGCATGTTCATTGTAACATAACTTATAAAAACAAAGAGGTAGAAACAGCTCAAGTGTCCATCAACAGAGGAAGAGACAAAGAAATTGGTGCATTCGTACAATGGAATACTACACATCACTAAAAACAATGGTGCAGGTACCAACACTGCATAACAGGGATGGATTTACAGGTCATTAGGTTAAGTGACACAAATAAGCCACAAAAGAACAAATACTACAGAAGACCGCTGTTACAAAAAAAGTAAGAAAAGGTCTACACAAATAATCATTCTTGGATGATTATTAGAGATAAAAACAAGAAGATGGGAGGATTAAAAATTCATAAATAATGTTGGTTTTGTGTGCCTTCAATTTCAACAGGCTCATAGCTAACTCTCCAGCAGATTTTCAAACGCTTGCCCATCCTTCTCCTGGGAGTAGCTGTGGAATTGAACAATGTGCCTTTGGAAGTGAAGCCCAGTTTCTTAGCACTAGTTCACCAGCGCTCCCCCGCAATAGATAATAGGTACCTATTAAGATGAGTGAAGGTAAAGGCAATATCCAATAAAGACATGATCAGAACAGTATCACTTAGCACAGGAAATAGAGAGGTATGGCAGGATTCATAGAGATCAGAAACACAGGGCAGAAGTAAAGAAATGCGATTATGCAGTGGGGACTAAAATTAATTTTACTGAATAAAATGCCTATGACTCATTAAGTAAAAAAATTAATTTGCTTTGTAAACCTTCACTGAAGTCACCTTAAAAAATCAATGATAAATAAAAAATAAAGTTTCTGTTCGTCTCTGCACCTTGATAATTTATTATGGGCTGCTGGTGGACTACTGGTAAGGAACTGTGCTGCCAATCAAAGGCACACGGTTCAAATCCCCCAGCTGCCTGTAGAGGGAAGAGGGGCCATCTCCTCTCGTGCAATTTATAGCCTCTGAACACTCTCTGGAAGGTCAGGATCAAGTTGATTCCAACTTGATGACACACAATAACAGCATTTACGAAAATATCTGAAGTCAAGACTATTTGTGTAGGACTGGATGATCTGTAAATAACATTTCCAAGGTCAAGTACAGTTTCCTCAAATGAAATGTAGAAAAGAGTCGAGAAAATCCTGTAAGCCTATAGAGAAAACATCTAATAACACTGCAAAGGTCCTGAATATCCTGTGAGCTTATAACAAAATAAAATACCTCATTGCTTACATTATCCAAGTAGTGTCCAATCCAATAAATATATTTGTCTCCAGATAGAATACTTTTTGAACTCTTAACTACTATACCCTATTAATTTTGATTTATCATGGTTACAAACCTATATTTATTTTATGAGTGTATGTTAAGTTATACATTTTCATAAAACCACTGGCTAATCTCTTGATAGGAACAGACATCATAAAATGCTGTAGATTCTCAGAGTTAATAACATATTATATAATCTGTTCTATTATTTTTATAATTTATTGTTTGGCTTTTTAAAGATATAATTCCTTCAGTAAAGACACAAAGTTTACTTAATTTCTTCTTGTTGAATTCCATTAATGACCAAAATATCATTCTCCTTAAAGTAAGCTAATGTATTTATTTCTTTTAAAAAAAAAACAAATGAATTTAATTGTATGGTATTTTACGTGCTGTCCTGTGGTAACGCCAAGTTTAGCAAGTATAGCATTTACATTTATTTTGTGTTTAAGTTGAAATAGAAATTGCTGAGATCTTGTTAGCTCGATATACAGACATGTTGCTGTTAAGTGTCGTTAAGTCACCTGCAAGTCCTAGAGACCTTTGTGCACAACAGCTCTGAACTCTGCTCTATCCTGAGCCAGTCTCACTGTCTCTACACACCTATCCTTCTTACCTCAGTCACTGTGTCACTTCATCCCATCCACAGATATCATGTATAGATACGCAGATCTGAATGTAAACAGGTGTACAGACAGATGTAGATACATTTGGTTTTGCTCCCAAAATGCAACAGCAGTGTCACAGGCAAAAAAAAAAAAAAGAAAGAAAGAAAAAATAAAAAAAGCCTGAGCTGCAAAACAGCCAAACAGAAGGCAGCCAATGAAATTAAAGCTGTAGGAATGAATTCTGACCACAGAATTCTCAAAAATTATGGTAACACTTTAAAAGAGTTACAATTTCAAAAAAAAAAGAGTTACAATTTCACTTTATAAGCCCTCTACATAAAAATCAAAATGTGGATATGATATTCCATGCACAGTTACTAAAATATGGTCAACGGTACCTGAGAGCGGGATTTCAAGTGCGGTGGAGAGTTTGAACAGGAACAAAGTCAGCACCACGACGGATGCTCTTTCTCTTGACAGCATCGCCATTGCTCTTCAGGAAAGTGAAGGCCCGGGAGAAAGGACTTTGGTTTCCAGCTTCGGAGAATGTGGCTGACCGGGAAACCTAAACACGGAAGCCAACGCAACAGAGAAGAGCAATTCAGTACATACACCCTCCAGTATCGACACAGAAATGAAGCCTTCTTTCCTGCTGGACATTACTATTCTCCTTCTAAAACTGTCCTCTAAAACTGCAGTATAAATTTAACAAGTTGTCACTCTTTGCATTTAAAACGAAGCCGAAATTACTGCAAAGAATCTTACTTTTAAGACATAGAAATTTTTCCCCGGATGGCATTCCATTACTTTGCATGTAACTGCACAGTGAACTTGGAGAAACGATCAAAGTTATGCAAGTGTTCAGGTCTTTCCTTCACGGGGTTGCCATGAGTCGCCTACGACTTGACGGCACTTAACAACAACAACAACAATGTAGATCACGTACATTGTGCATGCAAATACTATGAGAAGAGTTGTCATTAATTTCCTTCAAAAACATGAGTCTTATTACACTAAGTCTTTCTATTAAGTATTGTTTCAAGTCAGTATTTTTTTATTTTCATAATTTTAATGAACATTTACAGAGATTTTGGATTTCCATTCATTCATTGTTGCACTTTTCTCCCTGCCAAGCCTTCCCGCCCCCCCACTCCACCCCCACCCCCCACCCCCGGAGTTTGCTCCTCTCTTTGAAAAAGTAAAAGAAAAATTATTTCTTTGGTATGCAATCCTCCCGCACCCCTCCCACCAGTATTTAAAAAAAAGAAATAAAAATCCTTTCTTTGTCTGGTGAAATTCCATTTCATCTTCCAATGCAGCACACAAGAGACCTGAACAGTTATAGTAAGATATAAAAAGATAAGAAAAGAAAATTGAGAAAATTAAGGAGGACCTATGGTTTCAAATAAAATACACCAAGGTATGTAACGACATCAGGTACTTCCCAAACAGCTTATCCATTTCAAAATATAGCAAATAGAATGGGATTAAAATTTCAGGTTTTCCTTTCCTATTTAAACTTCTTTTCCCCCTGGGGATATCGTGAATGTGAAACATCTTATCACTGCCTTCAAAGTCCTCTTACAAATCATTACCCAACACTTGCTCCACAGAGGAATTGCTAATAGTTTTCCAAGTCTGTAAAACTTTCTTTCCCCCTGAAAACTCTGTTACTCTACTCCTTTAGCTCAGTATATAATAATGTAGCTATAGATTAATGAGCTATTCTATTTCTATTTAATTGCTAAATTTTCAGCGTTTTAAATTCTATCTTAAGTTATATCTCAACAAGCAGTGGACCACTGTCTTTGATCTATATGTTAACCAACTAAACAAAGCTTGTTTCTCTCGTCTATTGTTGTTTCAATCAACTCTGAAGACAGGGTAACATTGTCCCATCAGGTTTCAAGGCTTAAGTCTTAATGGAAGTGAACAGCCACACCTTTCCCTCAAAGAGCAAATAGTGGATTCAAATCACTGAGCTTTCTGTTAGCAAGTGACCTCCTAACCACATGGACCACCAATTTTTCTCTGTTTATATACAAATATAATTACTATTGACTATGTTACTATTTTGTTTTATACTTTTGTGGGTCTCGGTAGAAAGCAATCTCATTTATATTCTGCTTTGAGAAACATATACCCTGATGATGAAGGAAAAAGTTACACCACCCTCACACTATGCTGGTTGACTGTTTCTTTCTGCATTATAATAGTAGCATCAATCTTCTTGTCTCAACTGCTCTATCTAGGAAAGGAAACTGTGGGGGAGAAAGGCCTGGTGTAGTTCACAATATTTCAAAACAATGGCAAATACCCTTGCATTGATAAAGACATTTTCAACTGTATCAGAAAGCTAATTAACTTGTTTTCTTAATGAAATGTGTTGCAGTCAATTCTCAATACCAGCAAACTCCATAATTGTAAATTAATCTACTGCTACGATGTATTCATAATCTGAAAATCAATACTGTAGCATTTCTGTGGCCATCCGCTCACATTCAGAGAGTATAAATATGATTTGCCCAACACACACAGTCCCAGCTGAGAGCAGGCAAGGCGACCATCTGTTGTCTTGTTTCAGACCTCAGATTGTACACGATTGTTCTTTTAGTAGATTGTTTAGTGTCATGTTTGCATGCCTCTTAGAAGACATGATGGTGGGATTGCATCTGCTTACTTTGGACGTGTCATCAGGAGGCACGAGTCTCTGAGGGTATCTGGCTTCACAAAGTAGAGGGTCATTTCAAAAGGGAAAGACCCTCAGTGAAATGGATTAACACCTTGGCTGCAAAGATGACGCAAGTAAAGGTAGTCAGGACAGCACCGGACTGGACAGTGTCTCCTTCTGTTAGACACACGGTCATTGTCAATCACCTTAGCTCACAGAACCATCGAGTCAGAGCCTACTCATGCCTGACCTTCCAGTGGGATTTCAGAGGCAGTAAATTGCATGGGAGGAAATGATCCGTCTTTCTCCCATAGAGTAACTGGAGGATTTCAACCACCACTAACCCCCAGCGTGCTCTTCCAAAGAACCTGGCTACATTAAACTATGTCTTAAAAAACTTCTTTAAACAGCATCACATTAAAATAATGCTAGGAAAATAAACAGGTTCATCCTAGAGAGGGGTAAACCAGGCTGCTCGTTGGAGACAAGAACTCTGAAGCTTCATCTGACACACTCTGGACATGTTGCAAGGAGGGACCAGTCCTTGGAGAGGGACGTCATGCTTGGGAGGGTGAAGGGACGGCACAGGAGGGGAGTACCCTTCATGAAGTGGATTGGTTCAGTGACTGGGGTGTGAGAGGAGGTGTGTCAGAGATGGTGAGATTGGCACAGGATAGAGCAGGGCTTAGGGCCGTTGTACATAGGGTCACTATGAGTCACAGGCAGCTTGATGGCACATAACAACAACAACATGTACTGACAGGTTAACAAAAAGGAAACCAAAGTTTCCTCAGAATTCTGTATTTCCACCAAAGCAATGATTATTCAGCATTTTCTCATTCAGTGGTTAAGAGCACTTGATAAACTACTGAACTATGAAAACAACTGAGAAGAACTATTCTATACTGTCAAGTTTGAACAGATCCACTGTGAGTTTTCAGGGGCAGTAATCACACAGCAGGCGCTTGCCCATCCCTTTCCAGTGTGCAGCTGCTGGATTCGAATTGCCTGCCTTCTGGGGGACAGCACTGCTCCTTACCCCTTGGCCACCAGTGCTCCCTAAATAGAATCTCCTGAATTACAATCATCAACAACAAAAATAAGTACAAAGACTTCTTTTCTAAAAAGCAGAACATTCCATTTACTAGATAAATGAAGTTCTATGTATCTGAAAAAGGTTAGGGGACACTGAGCCAAGCAGCCATTTCTTACATGAAACATCTAAAGAAAAGTTTGTTTGTTGACGTTTTATTTACTTCCTTCTTTCTTCTGAACCAGTTTGACAAGTCTTGTAATTCATTTCCTACAACTATAGATCATTCTTTACTTGCAATCTATTATTCACCATCCTGTTCTATTAATATTCAATGGCTATTACTTTGGGACTGCAAAAGAGGGATTTTCTGTTTTCTTTAATGAACTGCCCTCTCTAAAGAACAAAGCATTAAAAAACATGATACTATCAGATACTAATATTTTCAAATTAATTATACCGCATATCATCCTACCTTAAAATAGAGAGTAAAAACAACAGACAGCCACCAAATCACGAACAGGGTCAATTTCTATTTATCTCCTGAAAGCGGGAAGCAATTTCAATAGTCACTAATTGCTGTAGTAAAACAGCTTCCAGATAGTAATTGTAGTAAAATGGCAATTTGACTTTTCAAATTTTAATAGTTTTAAGTACATGCTCTTGATCCAAACAATTCTCTCCCATAAAAAGATGGTACAATGAACCACTGACTTAAGACTATATATTAAGAAATATAAACACCATTGACACCCTACATTTCCATATTTTAGATAATGGTTGATTCTACATCTGACCTTCTCTCCTGTAGGGATTAGCTTCAATTTACCTGGGACTTAGAATGTTAAGAGGCTGTTACATAAAAGTCACTGGAAATTAAAATGTAGCCCCCTGGAAGCCAACCTCCATTAAGTGATGCTGACAGCCCTGAAATAGCTTTCAAGCTTGGAAAAGAAAAAGCCAGTGGTAATTCCCTGGCCAGCAGTGTAAAACCATATTGCTTGCTAATTCTTTTTTCTCAGAAGCAAATTCAGGAATGCTTACAGACCGACTCAGTTTCTCCAGTATGAAGATAGCCATGAAGATGAAGGGCACAACGACCGGTAGACAAAAACAGATGAGTTTGCTTCCAACTCAACAATATAAAAATCCTGCCCTTTGTTTGCCAAAGCACAGTAGCCTTCTTATCAAATCAGAAAAAGTGACTTTGAAACTCCTCTTACATTCTTAAAGTAGCTTCATGGCAGATAACTTATGTTATAAACAAATTACGCTCTTTGTATCTCAAATGCATCAACTGAATGATGAGAGACACAGGGTCCCATCATCTCCTCCAAGTCCAGTGAGTAACCTGCCAATTAGGAAACATGAAAGATCACCCTGTACCAGCCAGCGCCAGATGACTTACCAGCTGAACACAGACATGAGAGCCCGGCAGATCAATGTTAGCCAAGACTGGCTAAGATGAGAAGAATCACCCAACGGAACAGCAGACTTGCAAACACTGACAAGTGTTTATCATATTAAGTCCCTCTTTGGGGAACAGTCTTCAGTAGAAAAATGGTGAAAATCAATGTTGTTGTTATGTGCCATTGAGTTGCCTGCGACTCATTGTGACCCTATGTACAACAGCCCTAAACTCTTTTCTATCCTGTGCCAATCTTATTATCTCTGACAAACCTACTCCTATTACCCCAGTCCAGTCACTGAATCAATCCATCTCATCGAGGGTCTTCCTCTCTTGCACTGTCCCTCCACCCTCCCAAGCATTACATCCCTCTCCAA